CATATGCCATAAGCTAGTGAAAATTTCCGTCGCTATTTTGTTTTGTCACTGAAGAGTCATACCAAGGAAATATCAAGTGAACAATACTATTTACAATAAATTACCACTTACAATTACCATATTCGCTAAGATGAATTCAGAATTAAACGACGCAATGCATCGCTCAAGAGTGCCCTGCTATACTCGAATCCACCTTGAATCAAGACATAAAGAAATTGACCAACAGGATCACAGCGAACTATCTGCAAGTAAACACCACTAAGACTCAGGCAATGACACTGGGTAGTTCTCGTTATAGATTCAATTTTTTGGTTGATGACATGTCCATTGAAATTGTTCGACTCTTAAAATTTTAGGTGTAACATTGGACCGGGACTTGTCCTTTAAGCCCCATGTTACGATCACGCTGAAAATACGTGCATTCAATACGTACCTCTGTAGATATTCGTTAATGCATTCTTCGCAAAATATATGGCCACAACTGGTTTGAATCGGTTCCTTTGCAGGCAGTTGACATAGTTTGGACAGAGAAAATCTTCATCCACTGGATTCACAAACGCTTCGTCATAACCAAGTGGTAACGACGAATGGTTCCTTGCAACTTCCACCATTTCCTTCTGCTTGTTGTACGAAAGTGGCGTCTTTGAATAAGGGCTTTGTTTGTAAACAACCTCAGCCCCTACGCGTTCTTCTAAAGCATGCTCCCTAGCCCAAGCAAGGCCATGGAAACAAGTGAGGCTGTATCACGAGAAGCATGCCGGCAAAAGATAGAAAAATAGGTCTGCAATGTGTACAGACGTGTTAATCAACATTGACTGGTATAGAGGCAAATATGTGAAATCTACTTCACAATCAAAGCGGTTTTTTTTGCTAATGACTTAACATCGATGACAAGAGTACCCAAAGTACCAGAGTGTTTTCAGTTTTTATTTCGGGTATGACGAGCAGGTGAGACAAATAAGACACGTAATACTTGAGTAAATGGCCTGCGAACAGTATTTTGCGCCCAATATTTGGAAGTACCATTCAGAATTCAGGGCGGTGCGGGCAAGCTCTTCTTCTCCCTTTCCTCGCTCGCAGGCTAGTTTAGAAAATTCAGATTCATAACATTGAGGGTGAGTGACTGATCTGACATAATTTATCGTTTGAATTTTCGCTTCCATTTAATTCTTATGAAATGTAATGGTAAAATTAGCTGCAATGCAAAAAGTTCAAAAAAAGTAAAATTTTAGAAATATAAAATAAAAATTAATAATAATAATAATAATAATAAAACTAGTAATAAGAATGTGTATATTTGTAAAGTTTGAGGGTAATTTTCTTTCGCTGATTTCTTCTTGTGTACAATCGATGACACAAACCGCAAATACTTTTGCTACTTTTCTGTGACGTCGTAACTATGTCCCTGTGATAAGTCATTCCAATGCTCAGCTCTTCCCAATTTTATTCATTTCTGTAAACTACCTTTTGCATCCTTTTTTCACAACAACAAGAATAATTAGACAATGGGCGAGACTAAAAGCTATTTTTCTGGGTTTTTTTTGTTTTGTTTTGTTTTTTTTTGTTTTGTTTTTTTTTGTTTTGTTTTGTTTTGTTTTGTTTTGTTTTGTTTTGTTTTTTTTAATTAAAAGAGCTAGTGCTCTCTAATTTGCGTAATTCAACGAGGATACTGTTCCATTATTTAGTTCCAGTAACTTAGAAAGTTTTTTCCCTTACATTGGGCTCAAAATCCTTGGAACAGTTTAGCCGGCTACGCCCTCTCAATATTCAGAATGGATATCTTAATATGTCGCTTGATCTGCAGAATTGATGCGCGGCTAAAACTAATGAGACAAATGTTACATAAACAAAGAATCCCAAACTATTACAATTAACACCTGATTAAACGGGTCGATGTCAACAAATTCTGTTCTAAATATTGAAAATGAAGGTAAACTGGTTTAAGAATCAATCAACTGGCAAGAGGCAGACCAGTTGCCTATTAACACCCAGGACATAACCGAGGTCAGAATTGGACTCGGACCAACCAAGAACAAATCCTGCTCATGGACATAGCAGTGCGCGGGGCTTGAAATCGGGACCTCCGGATTACTGCATTAGCTCCCTTAAAAACGCCCCCTCGGCCATGTTGCCTCCAATACGTTTGCACAGTTATCATAGTTTTCTTACGAATACAATTTCCCCTGCGTCTTTAAAATGGAAGGAAATGTAAATTAAAGAATACTATTTAAAACTTCGGATCATTGAATAATGCAATTCAAGGGTTTTCATTGGGTTAGCCATCTGGCATATATAAACAATGACCATCATTTGTCGTGAAAATGCGCTCGAATATTTGTCCCCGCATATTATCTGTTCCGAGGAGCGAACAGTTTTCTACAAGCGTAGCTAGAAGAAATCTACAGAATCGTTTACAGATCATGCCCAAGGACGAATATCTGAAAATATTTTCGCTCAAAATGGAGACTATTGCGTTTATTATGCTTCATATATTTTTCGCAACAAGCGCAGTTTATCTCTCGGGTATTCCCCAGTTTTAGCG